CTGTAAGTCACTTCATTCTCTCTGACTTCAGGACAAAACTCATCTATACTGAACTCTCTCACTCGAGTGCTTTTAATCATGAATATCAGCTGTAATCATAGTGACAGTGACTAAAGTAAATAGAAGATGGAGATGTCCATAACACTGTATGACATTACAGACCTTTTGTCCAGTGTTTCTGTTCACTCAGCACAGGTTTACTGAAAAAGTGGATTTGAGTCCTGAGACTTTTAAGTCATAAAATGCAGTTGAAATCACTCTTATTAATAATTGAACTGTATATGTCAATTTAAAGGTATTCAGCTCACTAAAAAAGCATCAACATTACTGATAATATGGTACATTTTTATCAGACATGTAAGATGTGTTTGTAGAATAGCCTGAATAAAGCAGTGATTTTAAGAGTCTGTGATTTAACACTGTATGTCTCATTTCTGCTGAGCTTGCATCCGCGCTGATACCAAGAGCTCTTTTATGCCACATGGCCTTTAAACATGGTCTTTAGATAAAAATAATAAGGCAAAAACACTGAATAATCCAGTCCACCACCCTTACAAAGAGAACAAGAGAGGTGACCATGGAGAAAAGGAGGAGAACACCTGCAAATTAGATAACTGAGAACAATGATCGCTTTGAGACAATTGTGTAAAAGTATAAACTGCAAGTGAGAGAGTCAGATGTCCTGCAGGCATTTTGGCTTTGTTGTCGAACCAAACTGGGGTTCATGAGGGAACTTGCAGGGGGTTTGTGAGCTGACGAAAAGCTAATAATTCAATCATGAAAATCCATCCTGCTTTCAAGAGCAAAGCATTTAAAGTGGCAGACGATTAAACTACTGTACAGCACACACTCATATTAAACAGAACATAATTATTAATTGGTGTGGACACCAATACAGATATTTTTCTTATTGTTATTTTCTTGATGTGAACAGGTCTTAAAAAATTAATTTGTTTCAGTCCTCTGCAGATGTGAGTTGTGGCTGATACAGAAGAGTATAAGAGAAGTGTTGAGCCACAAATATTGATTTAATGAGCATTAAACAGATGTGAACATGAACATGAACACTCACCTGATACAGTCAGTGTAACAGCAGCACTGATGTCTGATCTCTGTGAGTCTGATCTCTCTCCTCTACAGCTGTATCCACCACTGTAAGACTCATCAGATGTGATGCTGTAGACTCTCTCAGTGACGTCTCTGATGACTGAAGCATCTTTAAACCAGCTGTATGTCCACTGAATGTTTCCTGCTCTCTGTATGTCACATGTGAGAGTGACTGTCTCTCCTCTGAACACACGCTGATCTGGACTCACCTTCACTACAGGTTTTGGAACACACGCTGATCTGGAGTCACCTTCACTACAGGTTTTGGTCTTGCTGTATTAATACACAAACAAGTATTCATATTGATGAAACATTAAATTATCATGAGCACTTTTCCTTGTGTGAAAAAAAGAGTGCTGAATTTAATTTGTAATGTGATGAGGTCATGTGACTGATACTAAAGTTTGAATTATTTATTGTTTCATAATGTGACTTGTTTCACATACTATTAACAGGTATTAGGCAGAAAACAGTATATACTAAGTTATGTTCAGTAAACAAAATAGTATAATACACATTTTGAACAAAACTACAGTCTCTCAACTAGATATGTGATCATAATAGAGTGAGTTTAAGAGGACAATGATATTCAACTCACCCGTCACAGAGAGAGAAACAGCAGAGCTTGATTGTGATGAGTTTGGTCTTTTATCTCTCTGTCCTCTACACGTGTACTGATCCTGATCAGCTGTAATTACTCCTCTGATAGTGAGAGTGTCTCTGTTTACAGTGTAATGATCAGACGCCTGTAACATTACACCGTCTGTGCCTTTATACCACTCATATCTCCACTCAGGTGTCCAGCCATTTCTCCTGCCACATCTCAGGCCATTTCTCTGTCTCCAGTTACTGCGAGACTCAATCTCACACTTCAGATTGACTGTCTCTCCAGTGAATACAGGACTGTCTGGTGTCACAGTCAGTGTAGATGAAGGCAAATCTGTGAAGAAAGAAGACGGAGCTCTTTCAGTGAACTAGTCAGAAACATGATCTGATCATCTGAGTTCCTGTATTTGTGATGTTAAAGAGGAGAGATGTGGAGAGAAGAGTGATGGTCTCTCCTCCGTCTGATTCACTACAGGTTTAATGTGATTCAACATTAGATCTTTTTTTTTTTTGTGATGGTCTCTCCTCCGTCTGATTCACTACAGGTTTAATGTGATTCAACATTACATCATTTTTTTAATCTCTTTTACGTAATGGTGTTTTATATGTTATTCTGAGAACTTCAGGAGCTTGTAGATTCAATGTGTCTCATCTGAATAAATGATCATACTTAGAGTTTAAGAGGACATTATTATACATGTTTTTCCCTTGTTGCCTTTCCTACCTTGTTTGTTTCCATAGTTACCTTATTAATTTAATTTAATTTATTTGTTACAGCCTCACTTACCCTTAGACAAACAGGGAGGTTTGTAACAATTGATCAACATTTAGGGGGTAACTAAATCAAACAGTTCCTAAAAGAAGGAATACAATTTATTTTGACTATCAAATAAATTTAAACAATTTAATATTGTCATAATTCAAATTACTGATGTCTGCAGTTCCTCTTCAGGAACTCGAGCTGCGTCGGAAAACGCTAGGGGAATGCTTTCTGTGACCACGCTCTGAATATCATGTGAAATCAGTCCAATAGCTGAGCGGGACGTCACGGGCGGGTGACGTCATGACCAGGAAGCTATAAAAGCACGTGCGGCGGAGCCAGCGTCAGCTTTCTGTCATTCAGCGAAGCGCTCTGTGTGTGTCAGTCATATTTATTGTTGTCTGTCAATTGTGAAAGTCTATAAGCTCCAGCTATGTCTAAGCTCATGCAAAGACAAAGCATTTCAAGGGCGAGATCAAGCCACATTGTACGTTGTGTGTTCCTCCCTGCCCAAAGAAAACGTTATATCACGAGTGGGGATACACACAGCCTGTGCGTGGTTTGCTTGGGAGCGAAGCACAGTTGTTACTGCCCTGCTTCGCTCTCAGAGGGCTCTCTTTGAGGAGGGAGCCTTCACTAGCGTTCCTCGCGGTGCCGGCCCCGCTTTCGCCGAGGCGGAGCGGCGGCTGTGCTCGTGGGTTTCGCGTATGGATCTGCTTCCTAATCACCAGATCCGGCGCCCGCTCTCGGGGTTTCGGAAGCCCGCACTGCGGTGCTTCCCACCAGGGAGAGGGCGCGACACTCCGCCTGTCTTTCTCCGAGAAGATTGATACAGAGGGCGTCAATGAGCTCACCAGTTGCACAAACATCAGTTACACAAGCATATTATGCCTGATATTATAATGAGCAGCATTAATAGGGAGCGGAGCTCGCGCAGTCGGCTCTCGGGGGGCGGATTGTGTTTTTACCGCTGTTAAGCGCTCCGCTCTCGCCGGGCACGCTCCGAGGACTGTGTCCATGCCTGTGATCTTGCGATTGCTGTCCCGCTGCTGCTGAGGCACGGCGGCGACTGAGATCGCGGTGATCGCACATGATCTGGTGGACGGGTTGGAGACGGCTCGTCCTATCTCCACCCGTGCTCCCTAGATCTAGAGCTCGTTCTCGAGGCCCGGAAGCCCGCGCTGCGGTTCTTCCCCCTCTGAGAGAGAGCTTGCTGATGCGGCCATCTTTCTCTGAGGAGATTGATGTTGTTGGTGTGACTGAGCGGCTCGTCCGCCTCGATTCAACGGGGCTCCCCCACTCCAGTGGGTCCCGAGCAGGCTCTGGTATTAGAACAAGAAGTACTTACTCTCTTAAAGAAGGATGCCATTGAGGTGGTCCCTCCGCACAAGACAGACTCTGGGTTCTACAGCCGGTACTTCATTGTTCCGAAGAAGGATGGGGGGTTGTGTCCCATTTTAGATCTGCGCCTATTGAACCGTTCAGTCATGCGACTGAAGTTCAGCACACTCGCACTCAGATAGGTAGTGTCTCAGACCAAGTCCGAGGACTGATGTGTCACGATCAATCTAAAAGATGAACATATCTCAATCCTTCCTCATCATAGGAAGTTCCTGAGGTTTGCTTTTGGGGGCAAA